ATAAAGCGAGAACGAGACTCCATTTGACACATCAATACTAATATTGCATATAATAACACGAACAAAGAAAAAGTTAAAAAAATTAAAAATATAGCTTATAAATACTGCAAGAAATATGGTTAAAAAAATATACAAAATGAAAACTAAGTACAAGGTACAAAAGAATTACAAAAAATCACAGATTTGACAGTACAGAAAATAACATCTAACTGGAAGTGAATATAAACAACAATAATGAAATAAGTAGAGTAATCAATGACAGAATAAATAAAGGTAGTAAAAGTACAGAAGTAATGGTGAAAATGTTAAAAGCAAAGACGATATCAAAAAGATCAAAATAAAGATTCTAAAGCTGTTGTGTCAAAATGTGCCAAAATACAAAATATAGAAATATGCCAGAATATACGGAAGAACGACAATTGCAAACATGTGGGTATAAAGAACCAATAATGGGATAATGAGATTTTAAGGTAGTCTAATAATAATATCACAACCTAAAACCCAAAAAATAAGACGGTTATGATATATAAAAAGACTTAAGGAAGAAAACGTTGAGAATATACCCAATGCGAAAAAGGCATAAGGGTGCTTTAGACGAAAATGTATACATGATATAGAAAACGATTTAAAAGAAGTTAAGAGACTGGGAAACTAAAGATTTTAAGAGAAAGATCTGGAGAGGAATTGCCAACCAAGCGTTGGGCCTCCGTGGCCTATAGAATTGATTTATACAGGGTGGTCCTTAAGTAATCGTACAAAAAGAAACATAGATTCTGCACTTTAAAATGTTACGATTTAAGCCAACTTGCTTTAATAAAATGTTGATATTAATGAAGTTACAGGGTGTTAAAATGGAAATTTAAAATTATATTTTTCGCTATAACTTTTACGTTTATAAACATTTATGATTAAAAATTTACAATTGACGGTTTTGAGTGGGAGAAACTAAAACTTTATACACACTTTGAGTAGCTGATAGAGGGCGCCACATATGCCACATATGTGGTACAAATTTGCGCTTATCTTTTTTACTTTGTAAGTTAGCGCTATTTGTGTTGAAACATATTAAAGATACAATATTTTCACAAAGAAAAGGTATACTTGTTAATAACTTTAAAATTTAACCGTTTTCGAGATAATCGCACTTTATAAGTAAGCTGCAAAATAATTCTTAGTTGTGTTATTTGTGCGGTAATACACTGAATACCTGTAAATAAGCATAATTAATAGTTTGTTCTTATTAAAACAGCTCAATGATAATAATGTAATATCACAAAATGCTTTGTTATGGCTGCTAAATGTTTTATTGGGGAGCAGAAGCTTCTATCTTCTTCTTTTGGTGTCGTGTCCGTATTTAGAAGTTAGTCGCCATCATGTTTACAATTTCCTATCTCTATCGTTTCTATAAGTTTCTATACTGGCGTTGTATTACTTTTTCTCTATTGCAAAATACCGAGGCGAGCGTGACAGAAGAAGTGCTACGAGATGGCGTCACGAGCAGCTTCACGAAATAATGGTCTTTACATGGATTTACTACCCTCTATAAATTTGTTTGTAGTCATCATATATTTTTTAACGTTAGTTGTTAATAAATTGCTTTCAATCTATAATCAAATTTTATTTTTAAATATCTTATTTATTTTGTATCTAATTTACTATGAAATTAATGATCAAATATAAAATTTATATTTTATTATTAACTTAATAATTAGTCCTACTTTGACGGGTTGATACTTTTTGTTAATATGTTAGCAGGTGGCACCACTAGCAAACATAATTTATTGAATTATTTTTAATATAATATAGTTTGTTTAAAATACGCATAATGAATTAATATTAAAATTACTTTATTAAATGTTAAAAAAAATATTTAAAAAATAACATAGTATTGGGACCGTGCAAGTTCGGAACAGCGACAGCTGGTGTCGTAAATCAGCAACATTTACTGCGCTTTTATGTTAGATCGAGGTAACCGGATAACTGTCAAGGATGTGGCCCCAAAAAAGAATAAGAAGAAAAAGTAAGATTGAGGTTATGTCGGTATATTATTAAAAGGTAAACGTTGATGTAGCGTAAATACAAATAAATATATTATTGAATTACAGCATTACTGTTAATATGGATTCAATAATAAAAACTGGATTTGAGAAAGTAAATCACCAAATAACTTTTCAACCAAGCACTGAGTCAAAGGGAAAAGCTTTAGTAGTGGCAAATGTCAAAAAATAATGGAAGAATTAAGAAAAATAAATTACCATAAATAATGCTAATGCATAAATTAGCAGGTTAAGCCCATGATATCGTCATATTGGTTTTGAACAAGTAATTCTTTCCCTGTAAACTTTTGGACAGCGAATATATCTTAATGCATCTTCAGAAAAAGTTGAACTTGATGCATTCTTGTAAACTTCAAAAAAATAATATTTAAACATTAAACTTGATTTTTGGGTTTAAATGAACTTTAAGTGAGTGTTATGAAACTAAAATTTACACTTAAAAGTGAACTTTTATTTATTATTTATTTCAAACTGACTTTAAAATCGGGCGCAAGAATAATGCATAATTTGGGTTATGTTATGCGTTTTTATGATATAAATCCACTTTTCTCTTTGTAGTAGCTTTGTGCTTCGAAGTTGGAAACGAATAAAACTTAAATTGACAATTTTTTGTTGTATTTTTACAATTTATAACACAGCATTTCCTAAATCCCATTTTCTTCAGAGACAGAAGGTGTAAATGTAAATAAACAAAACGAATATGAAATATGACAATTGACAATATGAAATCTATGAAATGTGCACTAAAAAATGCAAAATTTCTCCGCTACTCGCGCACGATCGTTTCTCGTATCCCCTCCAAGTACTTGCACGTCGCCAATACAGCTTTGCGCTAGTCTAGAGTGTATTGTACCTACCACCTTTTTTAAAGCCAGTTTTGATGCCAGAAGAAAACCCCAATGTATTACGGAACATTTTAACATAGTAGGCTGGTGTCACGAATGCTTGTGATAACAAATAAGTCTTGTTTCGATTAATCAATGATTTTTGTAATATCTAGTTTATTTTGGTTTATTAAAGAAAAGCAGAATATGCCGAGACATAATAAGTTTTCTAACATGGATATAAAAAGGAATATTTAAAAAGATACCCAAACAGGCTACAACTACAACCTAATCACCAAACTTTTAAAGATCTATTTAGGAATTTAGGCAAATTTGGTTCATTTTGCCCTAAAAACTACAACTCAGGTCGACCAAAAATAATTACGCCTGATCAGGAAGATGAAGTAATGGTTTGCGTTGACGATGATTCTCAAGCACACGACTTTTATCTTTATCGTTAGGAATCCGCAAAGCTTGCTTAACGCATCAGCAAAACTATACCAAAAATAATTTTATTGATTTGTTGAAAGAATTGTTATCAAACTTAAGGCAAACTATGTGGTTTATGCAAGATGGTACACCACCAGATTTTAGAGAGAGGACGTAGGATTGGTCGTGGTAGTCATATTCCTTTGGCACGTGGTGAGATATTACTGTAATTATTTAATTTATAAAAAATACCAAAAGAATACTTATTGTTATTCTTATAATACTTATAATACATACTGCAGCATTTTCTTTAGAACCAATGATGCTATTTAATATGAGATACTCTTTTATGGAATGTATTTCAAAATGAATTAAATAACTTAGTGGACATTAGTGGAAAACACTAACTTTGACAAAAAGTTTAATGTTATTTAATTTACTTATTTCTTAATTTGGTTTGTGAATAAAATGTTTTAATTATGACTCTAATTTAGTATAAAACGTAAAATGTTTGATGTAAAATCCTATTAGGTATTCTGTTATTTTGTCAAATACTATTATGAAGTATCCTATTGATATATTTATTTTTTTTTAATATTTCATTAACTATTAACTTTACTTAATGGTATTTCATACCAAAATTCAGAAGTATTGATGTTTTTGTCTATTTGTCCTTTGTTGTCTGGAGTAATTGCGTTAGATCAGAATTATGCAACTGATTAGTAAAATGCGATTATCTCTAAAACAGTTGTGGTTTGAAGTTATTAAAAACTATACCTTTTTTTTGTTAAAATAATATATCTTTAATATTTTTGTAACAAATTCCGGTAACTTAAAGAGCAAAAAAATTCAGTGCCAATTTATGCTACATATGTGGCATATGTGGCGCTCTCTATCAGCTACAACAAAGTTTTTATCAAATTATAATTCCTCATATTCAAAAGTACCTAGTAGTAAATTTTTATACATAAATGTTTACAAACATGAAAGTTGTAGAGACAAATAAAATTTTAAATTTCGACTTTAACACACTGTATCTTTCTTAATATCAATACTTTATAGCATTTTCTAAGCAATTTGGCTTAGATCGTAATGTTTTAAAGTGTAGAATCTACTGTTTCTTTTTGTACAATTACTTAAGGACCACCCTGTATAGTATATGCTCTTAGTCCCACTGCAGTATGTTGAGTATAATTTTTGTCCCAATTTCTTTATTTTTTAGTTTATATCACATTTATTGATTAGTTCATATCACATATTATTTATAAACATTTTAAATACTGCTATTTCGTAATAGTATTATCTACAAACCCATTGCACTCGTATGGATTTTAAGAATACTTGCGTATTTTTTTACTAATTATTCACATTTTAGTAAAAAATTTGTCATTTGAACATTTTTGTTATCTAATTGGACGATATTAGCACTTACTTTGAAAGTCTGCTTGGGTATAATTTCTCTATAAAACTTAATATAAATTTAGATTAAGTATATATAATTTATAAATTTGATATACTGAGTAATACAATTAGGGCAATGAAAATCCACCTATAATTTTTCTTATAGAAAAGAATTTATAGTTTGATTTGCTTCGACCTGATCTGAAAATAATTAAAAATTTTATTTAAATATCCTAGTCAAAATCCTTAAAAATTTAAATAGTTGATTAAAAATATCCTATATTTTCAGTTTTGCTGTATGGTGGTTCTATTGGTGGAACTCAAGACATAATAAGGTTACGTATTGGTTGCCTCTACCATTACCTCTTCCAGTACTTTGACAGTTTCTTTGATTCATCATTAACTCGTAGACCTAAATTTCTTTTGATAAGCGCACATGACCTGACGGTCTTACCGCTACTAAAATCAATGGCGGCATTTAAGAAACTCGTCAAGTTTGGAGAAGCTATCATTTGGGAACTCAGACAACAAACTGATGGCAGCTTTTTCATTAACGTATTTCATAGAAAACAAGATGATTTACAGCAGTTGGATATTTTAGAGTATGGTTTTAATTGCAATTATTCTGAATATAGGAAAACATTTAAAAAATTCTGTCTAGATCCTAAGGATTGGGAAATTGAATGTAATAGTTAGCAATATTACAGAGTGTGTAATAATATAATAAAAAACATTTTGCGAGTTAAAAATTTATTTATATAAGAATTTACCTTTGATATATGTATGTCATTAGAAATTCAACCCAAACAATTTTTAAGTTTTCTTCTCCAATTTGGAATATGAATCCACGAAAAAATAAATCAATGCTGACTTTTTTCTTAACTATTTGAATAGTTTTCTAACAAATGCTTATGTTCTATTAGGTAGTAATAGGAGAATTTTAATGAATCCCAATAGAGTTAAAACATTACTAGATTCTGAAGACCAAACTACACTTGTTTAAAAACAATCGACTCACAAGCATCAGATTACACATTCTGTTTCAATATAAAAAGTATAAAAATAAAAAGATGTAATGTGAAAACAAAAGCTTTATTATTGAAATTACAAAAACTGCTATTACATTATTTGGAAGACGCATTTAAAAACAATATGCAATACGAACAGAGTTTCCTAAATAGTCATCATTGGAACTAACGCTAGAAAGACGTTATGCACAGAGAAATCATTAATTACGAAACAAAGTTCTTTATTTTTCTGTATTAAATATTAACACACCTACTTCTAATTACACTTTCCAGTCGATTTAGGATAACTTTTCTAATAAAATCTTGAGGTATCGCTTTTCATTCATCAGTAAGCGCAGCTCTCTATTCCATTATACTTATTGGTGCATGATTTCTGTCCCTGGGCCCTTTGTTTAATTTAATTAAATGTCCAGGCCCAAACGCTGGCCAATATATTGTAGGTATACCGATCTCAGTCAAATAGGTGGTGTTGAGTCATGCGGTATGGCATCGTACATTAAAATAAAGGCATCTTGACGCAGACTTGACGCCTCTTGTCGTTGTCGTGTAGGTAGACCCTACATTTGTCGAAAAATAATACTTGACTTCATTGATAGTCATGCCAATCCAGATGTTCGCGAGCCAATTCTAATCTCCTTTGCTTCTGGCCTGCAGTTAGCTTGAGACCCGTAGCTGCCCTTTTTGGTGTCAAATTGGTTGGGTTGTCTCCTTCTGACTGTCCAAATGCTGGTACTAAGCTCTTTTTTGAGATTAGCACCAGTCTATTTCTCAGATCAAATGTCAAAACAAGAAATCGGTCATCTCTCTCCGTTGTTATTCGTTTACGGCCTCTTCCTTGTCGGCGTACATAATCACCAGTATCTTAATACTGACAATATACTCGCGATACAGCAGATTGGCTTAAATTAAGTCGATACGGCCACGGCCCTCTGGCTCACACCTTCTCTGAGTAAGCTACTCCATGAGCTGCTTTAACGGATGTGTGCTATCCATTTGTAACGCAGTTGGGAACGTAAGTGAATGATGTATTAGTGGGTTGTTAAGGAAATTACTGCGTACGATATTAACAGACATAAGACGGTACGTGTCGATTTCAATGAGTCAAATTCTGATCCATCTCTCTTACGTGTTGCATTATTTATTTGTAATACATGATCTAAACAGATCTAAACAGATTAGAAGCTTTCAAAATGTGGCTTTATCGCCGTATCCTAAAAATACCTTGGACAGCGAAAATCAAAAATATAGATGTCCTTAAAAGAATAAACCAAGAACGCCAACTTTTCAAAACCATCAAGAAAAGGAAAACGGCGTATCTAGGTCAGATCATGCGAATCAAAAAATACCAGTTTCCCCAACTTATAATCGAGGGTAAAATTGAAGGCAAGAGAGGAATGGGACGCAAGAAAATGTCCTGGCTCCGAAACATAAGGCAATGAACAGGGATTAACGACATACAATCTCTGATACATATTTCAAGAAATAGAGAATGAATGGAAAATGCGATCGCTAACATCCATTAGTGGATTCGCATCTGAAGAAAAAAAAGAAAATACATGATCCGATTTACCAAAAACAAAACTCTTTTAAAACTCAATGACGGGGTTAATGCTTTTATACTAAAGATTTTTAAATTTACAATATTTGGATTGAAACAAGAGACATACTTTCGAAAAGTAATGTAGCGAGATTAAATAAAATGAGTGGTTTGAATTTATATATATATATATATATATATTATATATATATATATATATATATATATATATATATATATATATATATATATATATATATATATTCGGTTTTATAACATCTTACGACGTTGTCCGACTTCCAAACGCCACTATATTCTGTCTTGAGTTAGGTTTTTGTCCAGATTTCGAGCGCTAATCGCTTTCCCAACTTCCAGGTTCCAGCTGTGTAGTGGTCTTCCTCGTTTCCTCTTCTCTGTGGGTTGCCACATCATCGTTTTTTTAGGCAATCTTTCGTCCCCCATTCGGCTGACATGTCCATACCATATGAGCTGTTTTCTCTCAATATCCTCAAATATAGTGCCCTCTATACCCATTTGTTGTTTTATCTTTTTATTCCGTATTTTGTCAGCTTTTGATATTCTCATTGAATTTATATAAATATATTTAAAATAGGTAAGGAAATAATAAATAAGACTTACTCACAATCAATTTAATTTAACTATTTATACGACCGGTTTCGCTTTCTACAATATTCAAAGCATCTTCAGGTCTCAATACAAAGTTAAATAAATGCTTAAATAGTAATAAACCCATACTAGGGTGTTGTCTACTAAAGATAAACAAAGTAGATATTATAAATTACAGTAATTATGCCAATAAAGCATGTCTGTGGTTTTTCAAAATTAATAAAAAGGAATAAAAAGGTATAAAAAGTTTTAACAGACAAGGTAAGACTCACAAATTGTTATAAAATAGTCTATTAGATTGTAATAAATCAATAAATGAGCAAATAAATAAAACATTACCTACATGCCGGTACTCTATTAATTGATGGATGGTAGAACATGGTTGAAACTGTCATGTATTGTTGAATGGAGAACATAAGTCTGCTATTGTAGTTGTTTGACGATAAACGGGAAGTTCTTGAGGAGAAAGATTTGATCCAATGAAGTAGAGATAGGTGTAATGTGATTGTTTGTTAGATGAAAGTGATGTTCGATACCATTGTATTATTTAAAAGTTATGTATACTTATTTATGAGATACATTTATGAAATGTGTGTTATTTATTGAGTATTTATTTTATGAAGGTGACAGTTTTATGGAAATGAATAAGATTAGATGTACAAATTGTATATACTTGACTTTACAATAATTTACCATTTTGCCAATAGAACTTTATCAAAGAAATTTGATAATTACAAGTTGAAAGAATTGCACACCCGCACAATTTACCGTACCGGCATGTAGGTAATGTTTTATTTATTTGTTCATTTATTAATTTATTACAATTTAATAGACTATTTTATAACAATTTGTGGGTCTTACCTTGTCTGTTAAAACTTTTTATACCTTTTTATTTCTTTTTACTCATTTTGAAAAACCACAGACATGTAATATTGACATAATTACTGTAATTTATAACATCTACTTTGTTTGTCTTTAGTAGACAACACCCTAATATGGGTTTATTATTATTTCGGCATTTATTTAACTTTGTATCGAGACATTAATATGCTTTGCATATTGTAGAAAGCGAAACCGGTCGTCTGAATAGTTAAATTAAATTGATTGTGAGTAAGTCTTATTTATTATTTCTTTACCTATTTGAAATGAACTCACACAAGCAACACATTCATGACATAAATATATATATTTATAAGTTTACAGTTCGGTAATATCTTAACAGCCTAACTAACTTCTAACATCGTCCCATATATATATATATATATATATATATATATATATATATATATATATATATATATATATATATATATATATACCAAAGTTACTATGTTCTAGAACATTCCCACCTCTAATTCGCCTACATGACGAACATTATATTATAATTATATTATTTTATGTAATTTGTATATGCAGTCAGTAAAATATCACCTTTTGAATTTTTTGTTACTAAACAAAGAAAAATTTTTCAAACAAAATTTTATTTTTGACAATATGTCAAAAATAAAAATTTTTAAGTTAGTATTTATGACATTTAGGCGGTTTGTAGCTATTCAATTTTTGTTTACAAATTCAATTGTTTTTGTTAGGAAACTATCAAAATTTTTCAGAGAAACATTTATTAGAATAAGACATTTTTTTATTAATATTTTTTGTAATTATTATGTAAGCAGCAGTTTTATATAACAAACTAATTTTATTTGGTGAGTTAACAAAAAAATTTTTATTTCTAGTTCAACTTTGTAAGATATTTTGTATTTTTGAGAAGCTCTTGATAATAATTGTAATCACAATTGAAAGCTCGAGTAAAAATAAGTCAACAAATAGCCCCTTTTATTGTTTATTGACTCCAACCCATCCAAAACAGTTTTATATATATATATATATATATATATATATATATATATACCAAAGTTACTATGTTCTAGAACATTCCCACCTCTAATTCACCTACATGACGGGTTGTTCTCTCTCGCACTCGATATCCCTGGAAATTTCTAGTCGCTTTCGGGATGCAACCGTTACACGGGCCACGCTAAATGCATGCTCGTAACACTGCTTCCCTCTTAGATCTGAACGTCTTGATCAGCAACTCTATATGTAGACCCAGGATGGCGGAATATACCGGACTCTCCAGTTCTGCATGAACCCTTCAGAAAGAAATAACAGCCTACTGTCTTTGAAGGATATAATCTGTTCGGATTCGTGTAACACACAGTAATTCTAACGCCGGTTTCTCGAAAGATCACTTCAATGCGTCTTCCAATCCAGATCTAGTGCAGGGCCTATCTTGGGTAAGGCCAAATTCTTGATGTAATTGCAGAATATTTTCTGCAAATTAGTTAGAGCACGCCATATATCCTCGTAGTTTGCCCTGTCTGTATACGACTTTCTGGTCACCATCTACAGCAAAGATCGAAGACCATATTATAATCTCAGTACTTTCCCAACTTTAGGATGCTGATTGTTTAACTCGTCCAAACGACCGAACTTCTTATTAAATACGGATGAGATTGCTTTAGTCATCTCAAGATCTTGGGCAACACAGTGTGCTAGAAAGACGTTATGCGGAACAATAAAAAGATCCTGATGAACTTCTGTGGTCACA